GATGTGTCTTACCGATCTACCACTATCGTTTGGGGTTATGCATTAGAGACAGTTGCATTCACGTTAAATAGGGCACCATCTAAATCCGTTGAGACGACACCGTGTGAACTATGGTTTGGCAAGAAACCTAAGCTGTCGTTTCTTAAATTTGGGGTTGCGATGCTTATATGAAAAAGTTTCATCCTGATAAGCTCAAACTCAAATCGGAGAAGTGCGTCTTCATAGGATATCCAAAGGAAACTATTGGATACACCTTCTATCACAGATCCGAAAGGCAAGACTTTTGTTGCTAAATTCGGAAACTTTCTGGAGAAGGAGTTTCTCTCGAAAGAAGTGAGTGGGAGGAAAGTAGAACTTGACGAGGTAACTGTACCTGCTCCCTTATTGGAAAGTAGTACATCACAGAAAACTGTTTCTGTGACACCTACACCGGTTAGTGAGGAAGCCAATGATAATGATCATGAAACTTCAGATCAAGATACTACTGAACCACGTAGATCAACCAGAGTAAGATCCGCGCCAGAGTGGTACGGAAATCCTGTTCTGGAAGTCATGCTACTAGATCATGATGAACCTACGAACTATGAAGAAGCGATGGTGAGCCCAGATTCCACAAAGTGGCTTGAAGCCATGAAATCTGAGATGGGATCCATGTATGAGAACAAAGTTTGGACTTTGGTTGACTTGCCCGATGATCGGCAAGCAATTGAGAATAAATGGATCTTCAAGAGGAAGACGGACGCTGATAGTAGTGTTACTATCTACAAAGCTAGAATTGTCGCAAAAGGTTTTTCGACAAGTTCAAGGTGTTGACTACGATGAGAGCTTCTCACTCGTATCTATGCTTGAGTCTGTCTGAATCATGTTAGTAATTACCGCATTTTATGAAATCTGGCAAATGGATAAACAAAACTGCATTCCTTAATGGATTTATTAAAGAAGAGTTGTATATGATGCAACAGAAGGTTTTGTCAATCCGAAAGGTACTAACAAAATGTGCAAGCTTCAGTGATCCATCTATGGACTGGTGCAAGAATCTCGGAGTTGGAATATACGCTTTGATGAGTTGATCAAAGCATATAGTTTTATACAGACTTGCGGTGAAGCCTGTATTTACAAGAAAGTGAGTGGGAGCACTACAGCATTTCTGATAAAGTATATGTGAATGACATATTGTTGATCGGAAATAATGAAGAATTATTCTGTAAAGCATAAAGGAGTGTTTGAAAGGAGTTTTTCAAATAAAGACTTCGGTAAAGCTGCTTACATATTGAGTATCAAGATTTATAGAGATAGATCAAGACGCTTGATAAGTTTTTCCAATGAGTACATACCTTGACAAGATTTTGAAGTAGTTCAAAATGGAACAGTCAAAGAAAGAGTTCTTGCCTGTGTTACAAGGTGTGAAGTTGAGTAAGACTCAAAGCCCGACCACAGCAGAAAATAGAAAGAGAATGAAAGTCATTCCCTATGCCTCAGTCATAGGTTCTATAAAGTATGCCATGCTGTATACCAGATCTATTGTATGCCCTACCACTGAGTTTGGCAAGGGAATACAATAGTGATCTAGGAGTAGATCACTGGACAGCGGTCAAAATTATCCTTAGTGAAATAAGGATATGTTTCTCGATTATGGAAGTGGAAAAAGGTTCGTCGTAAAAAGGTTACGCCGATGCAAGTTTGACACTAATCTAGATGACTCTAAGTCTCGGTCTAGATACATACTGAAAGTGGAAGCAATTAGCTAGAGTAGCTCCATGCAGAGCATTGTTGACATAGAAATTTGCAAAATACATGTGGATCTGAATGTGGCAGACCCGTTGACTAAGATTCTCTCACAAGCAAAACATGATCACACCTTAGTACTCCTTGAGTGTTGGTCACATAGCGATGTGAACTATGGGTGTTAATCACATGATGATGTGAACTATCGATGTTAATCACATGGTGATGTGATCTAGATTATTGACTCTAGTGCAAGTGGGAGACTGAAGGAAATATGCCCTAGAGGCAATAATAAAGTTATTATTTATTTCCTTATTTCATGATAAATGTTTATTATTCATGCTAGAATTGTATTAACCGGAAACATAATACATGTGTGAATACATAGACAAACAAAGTGTCACTAGTATGCCTCTACTTGACTAGCTCGTTAATCAAAGATGGTTATGTTTCCTAACCATGAACAATGAGTTGTTATTTGATTAACGAGGTCACATCATTAGTTGAATGATCTGATTGACATGACCCATTTCATTAGCTTAGCACCCGATCGTTTAGTATGTTGCTATTGCTTTCTTCATGACTTATACATGTTCCTATGACTATGAGATTATGCAACTCCCGTTTACCGGAGGAACACTTTGGGTACTACCAAACGTCACAACGTAACTGGGTGATTATAAAGGAGTACTACAGGTGTCTCCAATGGTCGATGTTGGGTTGGCGTATTTCAAGATTAGGATTTGTCACTCCGATTGTTGGAGAGGTATCTCTGGGCCCTCTCGGTAATACACATCACATAAGCCTTGCAAGCATTACAACTAATATGTTAGTTGTGAGATGATGTATTACGGAACGAGTAAAGAGACTTGCCGGTAACGAGATTGAACTAGGTATTGGATACCGACGATCGAATCTCGGGCAAGTAACATACCGATGACAAAGGGAACAACGTATGTTGTTATGCGGTCTGACCGATAAAGATCTTCGTAGAATATGTAGGAGCCAATATGGGCATCCAGGTCCCGCTATTGGTTATTGACCGGAGACGTGTCTCGGTCATGTCTACATTGTTCTCGAACCCGTAGGGTCCGCACGCTTAAGGTTACGATGACAGTTATATTATGAGTTTATGCATTTTGATGTACCGAAGGATGTTCGGAGTCCCGGATGTGATCACGGACATGACGAGGAGTCTCGAAATGGTCGAGACATAAAGATTGATATATTGGAAGACTATGTTTGGACATCGGAAGTGTTCCGGGTGAAATCGGGATTTTACCGGGTTACCGGGAGGTTACCGGAACCCCCCGGGAGCCATATGGGCCATCATGGGCCTTAGTGGAAAGGAGAAAGGGGCAGCCCAAGGGGGTTGCGCGCCTCCCCCCTTCCCCTAGTCCTATTAGGACTAGGAGAGGTGGCCGGCCACCCCTCTCCCTCTTTCCCCCTTGGGAATCCTAGTTGGAATAGGATTGGGGGGGGGGGAGTCCTACTCCCGGTAGGAGTAGGACTCCTCCTGCGCCTCTCCCTCTTGGCCGGCGCACCCTCCCCCCTTGGCTCCTTTATATACGGAGGCAGGGGCACCTCTAAACACACAAGTTGACACAAGTTGATCCATGTGATCGATTCCTTAGCCGTGTGCGGTGCCCCCTGCCACCATATTCCTCGATAATACTGTAGCGGAGTTTAGGCGAAGCCCTGCTGCTGTAGTTCATCAAGATCGTCACCACGCCGTCGTGCTGACGGAACTCTTCCCCGACACTTTGCTGGATCGGAGTCCGGGGATCGTCATCGAGCTGAACGTGTGCTCGAACTCGGAGGTGCCGTAGTTTCGGTGCTTGATCGGTTGGATCGTGAAGACGTACGACTACTTCCTCTACGTCGTGTCATCGCTTCCGCAGTCGGTCTGCGTTGGGTACGTAGACAACACTCTCCCCTCGTTGCTATGCATCACATGATCTTGCGTGTGCGTAGGAAATTTTTTTGAAATTACTACGAAACCCAACACGTACCACATGTCAGGTGCGCCATTAGTATCCATTTTATTTATAGCCCTTTTCCTAGTAGTGTAGAGTCGAGTGCATGAGTAACACCACCGTCTACATCACTCATGTGTTGTCACCTCCACTTTTTCATGACCCCAGCAGCTACATGCAATGTATGTCCACCGCTGCTGCACAACCATCCCTTTGTGTCAAACCGTCGTCTATAGTTTGCATCTTAGTGTCGAAGTCAACCACCAGATTTAAAGGGAGAGACCCTCACGAAGACCTTTCAGCGGACGTACCAATCCGCATGTAGCTGCCTCGAGAACACCAATGATATTGACGTGACACCAAGCCTTGCTAGATTGATCGATCCCCAGCTCCCCAAGCGAGAGAGGGGGAAATTCCCCTAGCGTGCCGGTGGCTGCCTTGTGTGCCTGCCCCATCCGCCTCACAGAGACAACGCGTGGGCATGATTTTTTTTTTTTTGAAACGGGCGTGGGCATGATTTTGTTTCTAGGACAGCGAAAAAGGCCGTCTGCCCACTGGACCGCTGTCTGAGACCAGCAGGTCACCGGAGTCCACACGCCGCCACCCAGCAGATCTGTGATGGGCGTCCCCGGCAGTGACCTCCGCTCAGGAATATGAGGATTGTATAAATGTTCACAATTTCAAACAAAACATTTAAGAATTTGGAAAAATATTCAAGTATTTAAATTATATTCCTGAATTTCAAAAAATATTCGTAAACTTGAATAATATCAATGTATTAAAAAGGAAAAAAATAAAAAGGCGGTCGGGAAAATAAAACATGAAAAAGGGGTATATATATATATATATATATATATATAGGTAAAAATAAAGATATATAGGTAATAAATCTTGCCGTAATTTATTGTCTTTTTAATGTATAATAATATCTCACCCTGATGCAAATATGGTAACTACTCCGGTAGAATCGAACACTGATGTATGCATGGTATAATAAATCTTGCCGTGGACGCATCCATAATCATGAGTATCTCACGTAACACACACCTATGCGTGATCGGCAACGCTACTGATTACATGGAATATATCTATTTTAGGGCAGTGAGGGGTGTTTGTATCTCAGATAATGCCATATGTAAACTGCCAATCTCCAGATCGTCATGTATGGGATGCGTCAATATTTCCTTTTAGCAAGACTAGAGTGCCGCCTATATATACTGCGGCCGGAGGGGTTCACGGTCATTGCCTCTTAGGTTTACAGAGAAGAATAGATTTCCACGATCGAGTTGAAGATCAACCATGAGAGGGAGCGGCCTTGTGTTCGTGATCACCCTCGTGTTCGTCGGGTGCCTTGCGATCGGACAGTGTAAGCATACATATATTCTTGCAGCTAATTCATTGTCCTATATAGATTGATGCCTCCAGTACGTTGTTCTCGCATTGTGCACTACCAAATCAATATTGCATTGTATTGCCTATATATATGTGACAGGTCGTCCTGTGGTTAGAGGAAGCAACCAAGAGAGTCGTGCCAATATTACTGCAAATGCTACAACTATTGCGGATTCGTCGTCATCAAGGGAGAGCTCGAGCAAACTGACGTTGAACTGGTGTTACCCAAGGGACCCAAGGGACTGCAACAATCCTAACAATCCGTTCTACACGAGACCGTGCTACTGCTGCCCCTTGCGACCGGACGAGCTGTGCTTTAGTAATATCGACGATTGCCATGCAGGGTGCCCGACTTGTCATCCTACTTGCTGATATATAGGCGTGTTCATTGCTGTGACATAAAGCTACTAGTTCGGTGTTATTCGTTAGGTTGATGGTAGTACACACTAGCTTTCCCACTACTAGTCTTTCTCTATATATGTGCAACGCAATATATATATGTATGATCGAGTTTAAAGAGATGAACGAAGGATAATTCGCTATAGTGTCCATCTTTTGCATTGTCAATGCCCTCTTTTTTGTACACGTAGCTATTTTTCTTTTGTCAATATTGGCCTAATACTATATATTTTTCTGGCCGCCTTGTCCTCCCTCTATAGTAACCCTTATATTCTGACCTAAATCCATCGTTAGTTTTCTTACGACATGCACACCCTATTCTTATGAACACTTTCAAAAAACTGAGTGAGCAGGTATTGAGATAGCTATGCCTAGTTTTTTATTGTCATTCTTAATCTATCGTACATATGCAATGAAGCAAGTCTCTAGCTTCCAGAGGCGACCGGTGTGTGCTGCCCACAGCAGTGCCTCTCGCGTATAGATGGGTGTCAGATCAGGGCGGATCCCATGCCCCCCGCCATGACCTCCATGACGTGTGCCCACCGCCACCACGACGCTATCGCCAACGAGCTCTAGCGCGACGCTGCACCAGCCGCCAGTGGTGTGTATCCTAACTTGGTCGCCCGCGCCAGAGCTCCCGCATGAGGAGAAAGACACCTTGCCGGGTCGACCAGGCTTCGCGTGGCCGTGCCTCTGGTGGCGAGGGAGGGGTGGGCCCCCGGCGCCGCCGCCTAGGGTACTTTTGTGAAGTGCCTGCAAGGAAGTTTTTTTTTAATCGAGACTCGTATATTTTACTCAAGGTAGAAAAGAAAGACAAAAGGAAACAGGAAAAGCCCATAGGCCAGCACTTACTCCAACTTCATAATAATCGTGATATAGCTTTTGTAGTGTGCAATATAATTATCTTTCTTCGAGGGAATCGTCTACTCTTCTATTAAGTCACATTGCACCATCAGACACAAGCCCAGTGTATTCCCTATGTATATCTGGACCAGCACTAAGAGCATCTCCAATAGCAGCTCTATTTTTGAGCACGGAAACATGGTGTTGTAAAAAATAGGCACGAAAATAGCTTTTCTTGGCACGAGCAAGCGCTGTCTGCAATAGCTGCCCTATAATAGGCACCCAGATCAACAAAACCATTTTATTAAACGAACATTTGAACTACTTTGACCATATTTCATATTTCAAACATAGTTCGCTTGAAGTTTAAACATGCCAACTATAATTCAAATATGACATGTCACTTAAACTACCAACTTAATATCATCGGATCCATCACTTTCACCGTTAGAATCAACGTTCACCACACCGGAGGCTCCGGCATTCTTCTTCTTGCCCTATGATGACGAAGGTCCTGCCTCGTTGTCGTTCTTGCTCTTCGACTGATAGGCGTCCCTCTTCCAGTAGAACTATATCTCGGCTTGCATATACTCCGGATGTGCCTTAGCAAACGCCACCATCACCTCCTCGCCGCTCTCTCTGAAGTTGTTCCTCTCATCAACAACAATGCAAGTAGCCAGCTTGATCAGGCTTGACTTGATTGTCACTGGCGGACCGATGAGCTCCGCATCTGTCCAAGACTCAATCTCTAGGAAATTGAGCTTCTAGCGCAGGAGACCGAGCCTCCACATGGAGACGTCATAGGTGCAGGCAACAAGGTCGGTCGTCGGGTACGTACTGAGCCACTACCTCCGTCCGTCGTGCTAGAACTGCAGGCCATAGTTGTCGGACAGTCAGGGGAGCACACCCTTGAACACCTCCTTTCCCTTGCCCTTTGGCGGCATGGCATGTAGGCGGCGGCACCGGGGAAGAAGGCGGTGGCGAGGAGGAGAGGCGACGCGGATGTGGCGGTCTTTGGCGGCGCGATTCGTCGGTCCAGCGGCCGGTGAGCAGGGTGAGGCGAGTGGATCCGAAGGTGGAGGCGTGTGGCAGCCATGGATCTATAGGAGGCAGGCGCTGCGGGTGTGTGGCTACGTAGGGAAGACGGCTGCTGGGTCGTGGCTATGTGTCGTTTTATTCTCCGGTACCAGCCCAAGTGGATTTTTTTCTGAAACTATGATGATTTTTATAGCAAATTCAAAAACTATACGACCTAATGCATAAAAATCGAAACTATGACCCTGTCGGCCTTCTGTTGGCCGAAGAGGGACTTTTCGGTCTACCGTTGGCCGAAGTGGGCTCTTCAGCCTCCCGTTGGCCGAAGATTACCCAGATGGGCCGAAGATAGTATCTTCGGCTTCCCGTTGGCCGAAGAGCACTTTTCGGCTTCATGTTGGCCGAAAAGTGTCAGGGGCACAAAACGTAATTAAGATGGCCTCAAATGAAAAAGTTATCAACATGAAAAATCTTCGTCTCGTCGAAAGGGTTGATTTTGATATAAAAATCGTCTTAATCCGAGGTCGTATGCAACCTATAGAGCCAAAACAAGGTCAGGGACAGAAGCTACAGAGTTACTTTGGACAGACCGAATGGATGTCAGAAAAAAAATTACGGGACATCCGGTGCACTCGGTGAGGCCGTGTGGAATATAGAAGAGTACGCAAGTTTGGTCACGTTCACTTTGTGAGACCGAACCAAACCACTCGGAGGCTCCGAATGGATCCGAAAAATTACCAAAGATTCCTGTCCGAGTTAAAGTTAGGATTTTTGATCCGAAAATTGTTTGTCTGCACCTGGAGGACTGTTTGCGTACCGCGCTTTCGGCCGGGTCTCCTTCGACGTGAGCTACGGTGCATCACCCCAACGTTGAGGGTACACGGTGACATTTTTGTGTGCATCACCCCCGACGTCGAGGGTGCACGGTGACGGACCTGAGAGGTGACCATTGCCTCTACTTTTATGGTGGATGACGCCACCGCCGAAAGTTTTCGTCTCAATTCCTGCCATTGCAACAGAGACATTTCTTCAATGCCGGCATATGTCTTCCCGGTGCAGATGAACAATGCCCACATCGATTTATGAGGCGGCTGGACTCCCCGTACAATAAAAGGACTAAAATTCTATCCAAAAATCTTTGGAGATTTTTCGGAGCCTCCGAGTGGTTTGGTTCGGTCTCACCGAGGGAACATGACCAAATTTGTGTACTCTTCTGTATTCCAATGGTCTCACCAAGTGCATCGGGTGTCTCGTGACAAGTTTTCTGACATCCATTCGGTCTGTCTGAAGTAACTCTGCAGCTTCTGCCCCTGACCTTGTTTTGACTCTACAGGTTGCATACGATGTCGGATTAAGACGATTTTTATATCAAAATCAACCGTTTCGACGAGACGAAGATTTTTCATGTTGATAACTTTTTCATTTGACGCCATCTTAATTATGTTTTGGGCCCCTGACACTTTTCGGCCAACGGGAAGCCGAAAAGTGCTCTTCGGCCGCTCAAGAGCCCACTTCGGCCAACTGTAGGCCAAAAGTCCCACTTCGGCCAACGATAGGCCGAAAAGTTCCTCTTCAGCCAACAGAAGGCCGACGGGGCCATAGTTTTGATTTTTATGCATTAGGGCGTATAGTTTCCGAATTTGCTATAAAAATCATCATAGTTTCAAAAAAAAATCGCTCAAGTGATGTATATTTACATCACTTGGTGATGTATTTTAGGGCTGGCAAACAGAATTTCTTTTGCGGTTGGACTCTTGTTGGAGGCCGTTTTTTGTCTCCTCGTGCCCAAAAGTGGGGCTGCTATTGAAGATTCTCTAAGTATATACACCTTGCAATAGTTACATATCTCAGAAGTTAAGATTTCACAAAACAAACAGTTCTAAACCCCAAATTGACCAAAACAAACATATGTAATTTTAGACTTCTAAATGGGCAAACTACATGTCGATGTTGTTTATCAACGGTATCATCGTAGATGATTGTGGGGATTAGTAAGCATGGAGATCACTGATGTGGGTTAGCACATGAGACAAGATTTAGACAACTTCGGGCCCTGGCAAATATCATCTGGTAATAGTCCTACATGCTGTTTGTGGCTAGGTCTCATTCCATATGTTCATGGGGGAGTCGTTGTTGTAGAGCCGGCTCTCATCTAGTTGTGTCTAGGCGTAGAGATTCTTGACCTCCCCCTCGTCTTGGGGCGCCCTGCTCCTCCTTATATAAGTTGATGGAAACAGCTTACATGTAGTGTTTTAGTAGGATACAAACTAGTCACATCTTCTATTACAAGCCGGAGTTTGGGTATTATTCCAATGGTCCAAAGCCAGCTTGCTGGGCCACCCTCATGTTGGGCCACGTTCTACCTCCGTGAAGGCACCCGTGTCCCATATCCACGACACTGCCCTCTTAAAAATACAGGTTACCGAGTTGCACATTAGTTAACACAAAATAATGTTGTGCACATTCTTTTCTTTTTGAAATGTGCAAACTACCCAATTGCATATCTCCAAACTCCAAATTGCACCAATCATATCTGCAATTTTTGTTTAATAAAGGGTAGCTACCCAATTGATCATTTTTAATCCTAAGGATGCACAATTCAGTGCGTGCAACTATGCAAAAAATATAATTTTGTATATGTAACGAAAATAATCAAAACCCTTCGAAATACAAGTTGAGTTGAATATAAAGATAACAAGAAAAATAACCTAAACCTTGCACTAGAAATACAAAATTTATTTGACCTTACCACACCATATAAACTTTATAGTCTAGTTGGGTTTACGCACTACCGTGTCAGGGGGGGGGGGGGTGACTAGTATGAGCTCTCACATTAGGTGAGATCAATTAGAACGATTTTTTTGAAAAAAATGAACATGTTCAAACATTTCCAAATAAATTGTAGACACGTATCAATGGTTGATGTTCATCCTCGAAAAGTTACACCACCTAATTCGACTTACACTAATAGAAACAACAAAGACAAATTTGAACATGAATAGTGTCAAAGTACTATGGACTCAAAGCTGCCACTATTCACATTCAAATTTGTCTTTTTTGAATCTCCAAATGTACTTCGAGTTTTGAGCTGATTT